GTCTGGGGTAACGCTTGATTTTTATTGAAAGTATTGAACAAAATCTTGAGTCATGTCACCCAATGTAGGCCACTTACCAATATCTTGATGAGCATGCCAGTCCAAGGCTGCCCCAGTCAGGCTCTTACTGAAATATGTCATCAACAAGTCATCTTTCTCTCCAACACTTCTCATTTCACTGCAATAAACCCTCAAGTGGGCTACCGGATCTCCACACTCATCATACAAGTTAAATTTTGGCACTTTAAATCCCGCAGGCAGGCGAACGTCAAGGGACACAGACAGTTCTTTTGTAAGTCATGCTTCCCTGGTCTCCCATTCCTTGCTTGTTCCTCAAGGACTGTTCTATGCCTTTCATCCTCCTGGGTGCCCCATCTTTACCTTTTCTTCCTGTGAACTTTTCATTTTTAACACGAGACTCATCCCTTGGGCCCTATTTGTATGAGTAGGGAACCTTGTGGGCAACCTCTGAGGGGTAATATTAGGCATCATGAGCTTGGAGATAAGCGGGTGGATCTGGAGAGTATGAAGGATCATCTGACATTGTGTCCGTAGTTTGGTTAAGGGTAACATCTAGGAAGCTAGGTGGTGGCGGGGTGGCGCCTTCCCAGTCATCCAAGCCAGATACATGCCAGCCGCGTGTTGTTTTAACATCTTTACCTCTTCAACCAACCTATTGTCCTGTTCAACCAACTGCTTTCGAACGCCGGTATCAACCAACTCAGTTCTGTTGTTGTTTGCCATTGCCTTTAACTTTATGTTGTAGAGAAGAGTTACCCCTTTAAAACCACAAACCAACCACCCTTCTGCTATGAATATAACAAAAAAATGAAGCCATCACGTTAGCGTTAGGGCATTTAACATAAGATAATCTCACTTTATGTGCAATGCACCTAGCCACAGTTATCAGTTCTAAAATGACTTCGAGGGTACAAAAGTCAGTTGGCATCATCCCAGTTTGTTCATTTAAACCTCTCTTTTCTTTGCTTTTCTAGCACTTGCTTGCTTGCCCATTTCCCTTCATTTCTTCTTTTTTTTAATCATCACTCTTTCTTTCTCTCATATCTCACATCCCACAATTTCACCTCTTTTTTTTTTTCCTTTTTTCTCTTTTTTCTTTTAATTATAAAAATATAATTCGATCGAACCCTATGTAGGTTTCCTACGTATCATGACCCCGCATGAATCAGATCTTTGTGTAGTTCTAGAAGATCAGGAATAAAGGAAACAAACTAACATTCTCCTTTTTTTTTACCTTAATGACTAACTCGATGAGAAAAGAGAAATAAAGAAGCAAAACTTTTTTTTTTGAATTTTTTAGACTTAATGTTCTATAACTTATTCTACACTCAAGCTTAACGGATTTTTCTTTTTCTTTTCTTTTTGGAAACAAATACTCTATTGAGGAAAAGTCCTAGAAAAGAAAGATATAATTTTTGACTCCTTTTTTTTCTGAATTTTCATTTGATATCCCTGAAGAAAAACTTCGTAATGAGAAATGAAAAAATAAAAACTATTTTCGGATTTCAATTTTTTAATTACCTAAAAGGAGAAATTTTAAAAATAAACAGAAGATAAGGTACGCTATCTCTTCTATGTACAATGTCCTAAAGTTCTTGTAAAATAAAAAAGAATTTTTTTTATTTTTTCATTAATTCCCCAAAGAAATATTTTAAGTTCTAGATATTAATTGCCTAAAGGAAAAACCACGTCAAATGATTTTGTTTTAGTTCCTAGAATGAGTATTCTAAAGAAAACTTCCAACAGAAATATAAAAACGCAAAATTTCTCTTTTCTTCCTTTTTTATTTAGATTTTTGCCTTGTAACACATTTCCAAATACAAATAAGAAATACAGTAACAAAAGACTCAGCAAACTTAACTAGACTATGATAAACTCTAATATCACCTAAAAGACTCCACATTACTGTACAAAGCTAAAAGGTAAAAGATTACATAAAGGAAAACAAACTCAAAATTAAATAAAATAAAAGAAAATCTCTTTTTAATCCATTCCTGAACAAGTGATCCTGACTAGATAGTCCTGTGGCTCTGTCATGCCCAAACTCCGATAAGTAAATACATGCCTGTATGAGAAAATTAAAACAAAATAGATTAAAGACATAGAGCGCTATGTGAGACAATAACCCTTCCAGTTGTAAACACGCAAGACATAATTTAGGCTATTTTTGCAAAATGACTTATTTGGTCAAAAGATGGCTAGAAGTGCAAAATTTGACTAAGACCCCGCAAAGCCAAGAACCTAAGATTTACTAGGAAGATCGGACCCTATGTGGGTTGCCTACGTATCATGCCCCGAAAGACGAGAATCAGGTATGCGTAGTTCGGGCAGATTGGATACGAGCGAGAATTAAAAAAAACAACTGACTTATAGAAAACACAATTTTTTTATTTTTTTTTTTCGAAAAATGATGAAACATGTAAAATCTTTTTGGATTTTCTTTTTTTTCGTTCAAGGCTCTTCCTTGCCAGGTTCTTCTGCTAGTCATCCTGGTGCTAGGGGTTCCATTCAGTCCACGTCTCTGGCACCAGGGGGTTGTTATGAGTGTGGAGGGTTGGGTAATATGTGGAGGAAGTGTCCTTGTCGTCATGAGGGTCTGCCACAGTAGAGGAGTAATCCATCGACTTCAGCACCAGTTACTTCAACACCCACCCAATCAGCTAGGGGTCTCCCTAGAGGGAGAGGTCGATTAGGTGGTGGTCAGGCACGTTTCTATGCACTCCCAGCTAGACCAGACGCTATTGCTTCAAATGCGGTAATTACAGGTATTGTCTTAGTTTTCCATAGAGATGCCTCTATGTTATTTGATGATGGTTCAACATTTTCATATATGTCATCATATTTTGCTCATTATTTGGTTATGCCCTGTGAGTCTCTTGTTTCATCTGTTCGTGTATCCACTCTGGTGGGTGATACCATTATTGTGAGTCATGTATATCGGTCGTGTGTGGTGACTATTGGGGGTTTAGATACCTGAGTAGACCTTATATTGCTTTGTATTATTGATTTTTATGTAATATTAGGCATGGATTGGTTATCTCTGTGTCGTGCTATTCTGGACTGTCATGCTAAGACAGTGATGTTGGCTATGGCGGGTGTGCCATAGATTGAGTGGCGAGGTTTGACTGATTTTGTTCCCAATAGGGTGATTTCATTTTCAAAGGCCCAACGGATGGTTTTGAAAGGTTGTCTTTCATACTTAGCTTTTGTGAGGGATGTCAGTGTAGAGACTCCTAGTATAGATTCAGTCCCGATAGTGAGGGATTGTTTAGATGTGTTTCCTGCAGACCTGTCGGGCATGCCACTGAATAGGGATATTGATTTGGTGTCGGGCACTCAGCCCATTTCCATTCCACCGTATCGTATGGCACCGACAGAGTTGAAGGAGGAGTTTCAGGAACTCCATGACAAGGGGTTTATTCGGCCTAGTGTGCTTCCTTGGGTTGCACCTATTCTATTTCTGAAGAAGAAGGATGGCACGACGAGAATATGCATTGATTATAGGCAGTTGAACAAAGTCACAATTAAGAACAAGTATCCTTTGCCTCGTATTGATGATTTATTTGACCAACTTCAGGGAGCGAGGGTGTTCTCCAATATTGATCTTAGGTTGGGGCATCACCAATTGAAGATTAGGGACACAAATATTCTTAAGACAACTTTCAGGACCTGATATGGTCATTATGAGTTCCTTATGATGTCTTTTGGGCTGACCAATGCCCCGGCAACATTCATGCATTTGATGAACAACGTGTTTCGGCCTTATCTTAACTCGTTGTCATTGTATTTGTATATGGTAAAATCGGAGAGACCGATTTTCTGTCATTATGGTGCCTCATAAACATATTTTACAAGGTTCGAGAATAGGATCGAGGTTCGCCCTCGAGGGCTATCGACGCTCGACCTCGGGGCGATGCAGACCTACGACTATGATGGAAAAATAGGGAGTTCCCAAGGTGCATAACTAGGGATGAAAAACTCTAGTAAGCTAAAATCAAACCTGAATCATGACTTCAACTAGCTGTCCCATCTCCATATCTTTGTAATAAATGCGTTTGTACTATGTGGGGATTCCCCCTCCCATATAAAGGGGATCCTAGACATTTTATAAGGTTCTGTTGCTCCATACTAAAATATACAAGAATATTCTCTCTGCTCTCTAACATATTCTCTTGAGCTCATTGCTCCATTTATTGCTTACATTCATTGTGTTCTATTTATTGTTCATCATTTATTGCTTATTATTGGTCATAAAGAGCCGCATTGATTTTATTCTAATTGTTAGTCACCCATCGATTACCTCTGATAGCACTCAGCCAAGCTTTAGACTCGACCCCGAGGTCCTCGAACAGGCAAGCTCGAGGCACCGATTATTACTCATTCGGTTTGGTTATCACCTTGCTCTCAAGCTCTAATCTTATTCCTAAGTCTCTCACATAACATCAACTGCATAACAACTAGCATAAAAATAGATCATATATTTTTAGAATCCCATAATCAAATTTAATTATTATTACCATTTTGACGGTAAACGGTTTTGCGCCCACCGTGGTGTTAAAAATAATAGTGATTATTTTTTTGATAGTTTAGTCACATAACGCAAGTTATCTTTCACACTTTTTCTTGTCCAAGATCTTTGATTTAAAGTCAAAATGTCTAACTCAGTAAATGTATGTGAAAACGTCAACCTTGAAGACCATGGTGGAAATGGTGTTGACGTCCCAGGTGTTGGCGTACCGCCGCAAAACACTGAGAGTACGTCGGAACCAATTCCCGAGTTTACGACCTCATACAACACCCGACACGGTAATGGCAATCCTCACATTAGTAAGGGAGCATGCCGAGAGATTCAGTAGGAAATCCGGAAAAATCCAACACGGTCTGAGAGAGAGATTACTCAGCATGTCGTTCATATGATCATCGAGGGGACCGACATTCCCCGAGGACCCGTGATCAAATAGACAAAAATATCTGTTGCAATGGAAAGGCCGATCCGAGACCGCATGACCGAAAACACCTTTGCATTCAGCGAGGAAGATTTCGGGACCTTAACACAGCCACACAACGACGCACTGACTATTTCATTTCTTTTAAATAACATTCGAATTAAACGTGTGCTCGTGGACCCAAGCAGCTCAACCAACATAATTAGGTCAAATGTAGCAGAACAGATCAGGTTGCTTGATCAGATCATACCCGCCTCCCAGGTCCTCCACGGCTTCAACATGGCTGGTGAAATAACGAAAGGGGAGATCGCCCTCTCGGTTGACAATTCTGGCACAGTTCAGGACACCAAATTCCACGTCATCGGTGGTGACATGAGGTACAACTTTTTGCTTGGCAAGCCATGGATACATAGCATGAGGACAGTGCTATCACCTCTACACCAGATAATGAAAATCCCAACAAAGAATGTTATAACAACCATATATGGAGAAAAACATGCGGCAAAAGAAATGTTCGCTGTTCACCAGGAGGCGTCGAATCCTATACGCTCTAACCCGAATGAGTAAGGGAGCGTACAAACACCCGAATACGATGAAGAATATTTCCTCGTTCCCCGGACTGTCGATGCCCCCGATGAGTTGGACGCAACGAAATCGACAATTGAAGAGCTGAAGCAAGTTGTTTTGATCGAGCATCTCCCTTATCGGAAGGTATACATGGGAATGGAATTAACCACCGAACTCAGGAAAAACCTCATTCAATTCCTTATTAATAACATCAACTATTTTGCCTGTTCCCACCTTGATATAACAGGTATCCTACTGGAAATAACCACCCACCGGTTGAGTGTCGACCCCAAATTTAAACTAGTAAAGAAAAAAAGAAGACCCTAGTCCAAAATAAAACACGCATTCATCAAGGACAAGGTAACAAAACTCCTTAAAATAGAGTCTATTAGAGACTTGAATAAGGTATGCCCAAAACGGGAAATAAGTTAAGAATGTACATAGATTATAGATACTTGAATAAGGCATGCCCCAAATATTCATTCCCATTGCCCAACATCGATTGCCTAATCCATACCACAGCCGGCCATGAGACCCTAACCTTTCTCGATGCCTACTCGGGGTATAATCAAATTCATATGAACCCCGAGGATAGGGAAAAGACTTCGTTCATCATGAAGTATGGTACCTAATGTTACAATGTGATGCCCTTCGGGCTGAAAAACGCAGGGGCCACATACCAATGTCTAGTTAATAAAATGTTCGAGCATCAAATAGGCAAATCCATGGGAGTTTATATTTATGACATGCTAGTTATGTCCCTGCGCGCAGAGGACCATTTGACTCATTTGTAGGAAACATTCGACATCCTCAGTAGATACAACATGAAGCTTAATCCCGAGAAATGTGCCTTCGGAGTGGGTTCGGGCAAATTCTTAGGCTTCATGTTGTCAAACAGAGGGATCGAGATCAACCCCTATAAAATCAAGGCCATCGAAGAAATCACAGAGGTAAATAATGTAAAAGCAGTACAACAGCTGAAAGGACGGATAACGACTCTAGGCAGGTTAATATCTAGGTCATCGGATAGAAGCCATCATTTCTTCTCTTTACTCAGAAAGAAAAACAACTTTCAATGGACTCCAGAATGCCAACACACCTTGGATGAATTGAAGCGATATTTGACTAGCCCGCCTTTTCTCCACACGCCAAAAGAGGATGAAATGCTATAGTTTTATCTGCCCATATCTGAGATAGCGGTAAGTGGTGTGCTGGTTCGAGAAGAGCAAGGTATGCAATTCCTTATCTATTGTGTAAGTCGAACCCTGGGGGATGTCGATACTAGATATCCGCACCTAGAAAAATTAGCTCTTGCTCTAATAAGTGCATCACAAAAATTGAAGCCTTATTTTCAGTGCCACTGTATTTGTGTTTTAACAACGTACCCTCTCCGTAGCATATTGCATAAGCCTGAATTATCGGGCCGATTGGCCAAATGGGCCATTAAACTCGGGGGATATGATATCGAGTATCAACCCCGAATGACCATCAAGTCCCAAATTCTAGCGGACTTCGTGGCCGACTTCTCGCCCTCCCTCGTGCCAGAGGTAGAAAATGAACTCTTGCTTAAAGTGGGCACATCTTCCGGGGTGTGGACCTTGTTCACCGATGGAACCTCGAACGTTAGAGGATCTGGACTCGGTATAGTCTTGAGGCCACCCACGGGCGGCATGATTAGGCAATCTATAAAAACTGCAAGGTTGACTAACAACAAAGACGAGTATGAGGCTATGATTGCAGGTCTAGAATTGGCCAAAAGCTTGGGAGCTGAGATCGTCGAGGAAAAATGCGATTCGCTCTTGGTAGTAAATCAGGTAAATAGGAGCTTTGAGGTCCGAGAAGACAGGATGCAGAGATACTTGGACAAAATCCAAATCACATTGCGCCGTTTCAAAGAATGGACCCTGGCTCGTATACCCCGAGAGAAGAACATCAAAGTCGATACCCTCGCTAACCTGGGATCATCCGTCGAAGAGGATGACCTACTCCACGGGGTTGTTGTTCAGCTATCCAAATCAGTGGTTGAGGAAGGTCAGGCCGAGATTAACTCCACTAGCCTGACTTAGAACTAGAGAAATAAATATATTGACTATTTGAAAGATGGGAAACTACCCACGGATCCAAAAGAATAGAGGGTGGTACGTACCAGAACAACCCAATTTTCAATTGATGAAAGCGAATCTCTTTACTGGAGAACCTTTGATGGCCCTCTAGCCATATGCCTAGGGCCGGAAGATACCGATTATGTGTTCCGGGAGATCCACGAGGGGACCATCGGAAATCACTCCGGTGCCGATTCCTTAATTCGAAGACACTAAGGAATTCATCCGAAAGTGCGACAAATGCCAGAGCTTCGCCCCTATGATTCACCAACCCGGCAAACAACTATATTCGGTCTTGTCACCATGGCCGTTCATGAAATGGGGAATAGACATCGTCAGACTCCTACCAACGGCACCAGGTAAAGCTAAATTTATTTTGTTTATGACTGACTATTTTTCAAAATGGGTGGAAGCGTAGGCCTTCGAAAAAATAAGAGAAAAAGAAGTCATTGATTTCATCTAGGACCACACCATGTGCCGATTCGGGATTCCTTCCGAGATAACATGCGATAATGGGAGAAAGTTCATCGGAAGCAAAGTAACACAGTTCCAGATAGCAAAATCAAAAGAATCCTGTCGGCACCCTACCACCCGTGTGCAAACGGCCAAGCCTAGTCCAGAAACAAAACCATAGTTCAAAAGTTAAAAAAGAAGCTGGAATGCGCTAAGGGAAGATGGAGAGAAATATTGCCCGAAGTACTGTGGGCGTACCGAACAACTCCAAAATCGAGCACAGGGGAAACACCTTTCTCCCTAGTATATGGTGTCGAGGCTTTGATACTAGTGGAGGTCGGGGAACCAAGCGCCAGATCTCGGCACGCCACTGAGAGCTCGAACAACGATGCCATGACTACTACCCTCAAACTATTGGATAAAAAGTGAGAAGCTTCGTTGATCCGAATGGCCGCCCAAAAGCAAAGAATTGAAAGGTACTATAACAGGGGGACAAACCTCTGACATCTCGGAGTCGGAAACTTGGTGCTAAGAAAAGTAACCCTCAACACTTGTAATCCTAATGAAGTAAAACTAAGCCAAAATTGGGAAGGACCATACCGCATCCTCGGGGTAATTGAAAAATGGTCCTACAAGCTCAGTAAGATTGAAGGCGAACAACTTCCAAGAAATTGGAATATATCAATGCTGAAACGATACTACTGCTAGGATGTCCGATGGAAAATTCTGAAACATCCTAGAGGATGCGTTGCCCTCTTTTCCTTCGAAGGAACCGAGAGGCAAGCAAACAGCAAAATAGCGATAACAAGATACACTCTCAGCTACTCTGGACTAAACAAATCAGGGGACCGTACCGCATCCTCGTGACAAGCAACCAAAACACATCAAGGCTCGAAATATCGCCAGCACATTCTGCACTAAGGTATGACCGTCTCTTTTCTCTTTAGAGTACATTATACACCGACCCGAGTGCAGGTATCAGATCGAAACAGCCAAAGCACTTTCCAACTCGAAGTCCTTAGGTTTCAAAAAGGTTACGTTGCACTCTTTTCCTTCGACTGGGTTTTTATCCCAAAAAAGGGTTTTACCGGCAAGGTTTTTTACGAGGCAACATCCATATGCTACCTAAGGAAGACTCAACAACTATTCAAGGTATCTTTTGCATTCAAACTCGAATACTGGGGGGCATCCCCCCGGAAGATCACCTTCTCGGAGAAGATAAGATATGATGAACAGGGTCTCGATAGGAAAAAGCAATGTACCGGGCGAAACGATCGAACGAACCGTGCCCACATAGAATAGACCAGCCCTCAACAGTAAAAACACATATACTTGTACCAAGTAATCAAAGAATACTTTTCATACGAGCATTTCATGCTTTAATAGAAACTCGATATTTTTGCAAAAATGGCTCCTCTATCAAAAACATCCCGAACAATAGGGGACTGGCGCCAACAACTCAAAACAATGCGACCTCAATGAGGCAACATCTAGATCATTAAACAGTTCCAAAGCTAAAAATGTCCCGAACACTCGGGCACTGGCATCGAAAACTCAAAGCCACATGATCTCCAGGTCGGAGACTCCGGAATCGTAAGACCTTAATGAGGCAATACCAAGTTTGCAAGTAATGGCCCCCGAGCTGAAAAATCCTTGATAACTCGGGGACTGCCATCAATCGCCATCTCCATCGCAATGGCTCCCGAGCTGAAAAATCCTCGATAACTCAAGGACTGTTGCCAATCGCCGCCTATTAAAAACCCGAGGCCATAAAACACCGAGCGGGCATAATCAGTCTCGTAAGACCTACATAAGGCAATGACAATATTTGTAAGACCTTAAGCAAGGCATGAACCATACTTGTACCAAGTATCCAAACTGTAAGACCTCAAAGGCATGTAAAACTTGTAAGACCTTACTAAAGGCATAAACTCGATCTCAAAGTTAAGGATATATATCAAACTTGTAAGACCCTTAAAAGGCATACCCTCGATATAGACATTGAAACTACTTCACTCGGGACTAAAAATGGCCCTGGCCAAACACAAATAACTACGGTCACAAGGCTGTACTAGCCAAACTAACGTGACTCGGGGACGCCCGAATATCGCTACAAAATCATAGGCCTTCAATTACTTCGAATCAAATTCAAAAAGAACCGGTTAAACAGGCTACCCTCGATGTAGGCAAAAGATCTTCGACCATGTCAGCTCCTAAATACTAGCTTCGAGATACTCAGCTTCTGAGCCAAACCTCCCAAGGTGCTACATCATTTCTATATAACGACTCGCAATCGAGGTTTTTTATTAAACCGTCAAAGAGTCAGGCGAATACTATCTCAAAAAATCCTTATCGAGGGAAAAATAAAGCCTACAACCAGCCCATACAAAAGGTCGTACTGAACTAACGCGTAAGAGCCTAAGGGCCAGCTTTAAATTCAAAAAC